AAATCACCACTGTATATCTGTCTCATTATTTTTAATTGATTTGCACCCTTTAAAAGTAGCACTGAGTATTGTGAAAATATTTATAATGGCTCGATATTTTTTGAAGTCAGGTAATCTCTGTAATTCGGTAATCTGTATTTTATGCTCCACTTTCTTCCACAACCATAGTCCTCTCATCACTGTTTACGCGCAACAACAGGAACGACCGAGGTCTCTAACAGCCGCAGAAGTATTACATCCGGAAACTTCTAGTTCTTTGAAATGGCTGAAAGGGGTTTTTTAGTGCCCACATTAGCAGCTGTGGTTTCGGTTTTGGTTTTTCAGGAAACAGAAGCGCTTCACTCTCTGGTGTAGGAAATCGTTCTTGGTAGACTTCAGGATAGGATTTTTGAAACTAAAAAATAAAATTAAAAAATCCAAGAAGGGTCAAAAAAACAGATAAGAGCCAATAAAATTGGGCATTCTAATTTTCAAATAAGAATTTCTGTTCCAAAGCTTTCCTATTTCTGTTTTGTTTTAATGTTTACTGCTTTCCATCAGAAAAGAGAATAAGAAGAAAACATCACAAATTCACTGCAACACAAATCCATTTCTTTTTCTTAACTCATTTGATTCCACTTTCTATAGCTCTAATTCAGCTTTAATTTGATCTAATCTTCAAATAAACCTCTCATTTGAGTCACATCGCTTAAAATTTCTCCCCTGCCAACTATAAATAGAACTCACTTCTTAAATATGCACAAGGGAGTCTGACTTGTACTTTACACAGTTAAAGAAAATTTGGGCCTAACTGCATTTCTACAACTCCCTGCTTCTCCAACTCAGCCCTACCTGCTTCTATCCACGTGGAAGAGAAAACATTCTCACATGCACTACCTTATGCAAAGCTTACAAAGAAGCAGTTTTTTTTTCCTGTGATCCTCACCACTGAACTTTTCTCCAGAATTACTCTGAGAAAAATACGATTGGGAGTCTAGACCTCTCGGGCTCTGTGTGTAATCTTGCATATATGGAGGGATCATGAATCAAGGTAGGCAGGATTCAGTCTTTAAAAATAGAAACCATTCACTTGCTCTTGAATCAATACTTCAAAAATGGTCAAGATAAACAAACGCATTCTGAGTTGAAAACTATTATCTGAATTCCTAAGCCCAGTTGCCTAACAGGAACTAAAAACTTTTAGTGGTGCTTGAGGCAAGATACCAATTTGAAATTGGCTATCTAAAACCAAAGGCTTTTAAATTCTACACATTTTACACTTGGATTCAGTCTGATTTGCCTTTCAAAAAAAAAATCAAAAGAAACTGTCCTCATTTTGTGAAGGAAAAGCCC